ATATATAAATAGTAATAATAAAAATAATTTATTAATATCTAATACTCAATTTAGCATATTTTCTTAATGAATATAGAAATTAATTAATTTAATTATAGTAATGCGTGTAATACTAATTTCAATATTCAAAATACAATTACCGTAATGTGTATTAAATTTTAATGTACTTGAAATAATAATTATAAATTCATAAAAATTACATAAATTCAATACATATTCATTGTCTGTCCTTCTGTTCACATTTTATTGAATTTTTAAATTTTGACTTCAGATTTGGATTAAGCATCAAAAATAAGGTATAAGAGATCAACATTAAAATTTAGATATCTCTTCAGGAACATAGACAAAATGGCGGCCAAAGTACCAAAAAAATTAAATTTTAAAGTATAAATTTGAATAAAGCACCAAAAATAAGGTATAGGGAATTATATATATATATTATATCTTTAGGAACATAGTTTATTTTGTCATTACTGAAACATTTGATTTTAATTTAATTTTTAATTCGGATTAGGAGTTCGTATGGAAATGCTTTCTAGCATTTTCAACTGGTTTTCTACATTTTTACAAATAAAATGTTCTGTCTCAGTTTAGACAGTAAACAAGTAAATAATATTTAATAAATATTTATAGGATATATATATATAATATTTTTAAATTAATTTTATATAATATTATGAAATCTAGTAGAATTCCCAGAGAATCTATTTCATTGTTATACTACTGTATCTATTCAAACACATATAATATATTTTATTATAATGTATGAAAATAAATGTTATATTAAACTTCAAATTGTGTGCTATTGTTAAATAGTATAAATAAATTTATTTTAATAAAATTTTATGCAAAATATTTGAGTATTGATATTATTTATTGTAATAATATGAAATATATTTATCCAATCAAACGATGAAGGGATGGATATATATATATGTATTTCGAGAAAATTGGAGGGATTTTATAAGGGAACTTCCCTCTCTGGGAAATTTTTCCAAACTCTTTTTTATAATAAATAAAATAAAAAATATTGTAAAAAATGTAATTAATTATAAATATATGATTGAATAAAATTTTTAGTAAATGAAATTATTTTAATTGAATTCAATGCGAAATTTTGTAGATAAGATGTGAATTAATATAAAATATCGCACATATTTTACAACAATCTGTAAAAATAATAATATATTTAAAATATATTAATTTGTTTTTGTTTTTTTAAAAATTATGTTAAATTAAATGTCAAACCGTTTGAAACATTGGGTAAGTTATGGCACCAAATGCTACGATATTTAAACCGATTCGTCTATTACTTGACAGGCGTTCAAAATATGTCATTAATTTTAGTTTAAATCGTGCGCTAAATGGCTGCCGATTTATACGCCATTGAATACGGGCTAACGGTTTGCACATTATATGCATTTTATGTGAAAAATATGCAAATATTAAAAATATAAGAAATATGAATAACATATTACACAATGCTATCAATAGTAATGATATTTTAAAAGTAAACATAATGTCCTCAAACAGTATTTGATGCCAACATAACAGATTGAATGGTACCAAACAAAACAATTCAATGGACAGTAGTTTAGCCACTAATTTGTTATTATTATTCAAAATATAACAATAAATGTTGTGTTGTATTATATATATAATAGTACTTTCACATATATCATTATTAGTTGCATTAGTTTTAGTTAATATAGAAATAAATTTTCTATTGATAGATATAATTTTATCAAATGCTAAATAGATTATTATGGGAAATGTTGTGGCAATAAATGCCAGATCACAAACCATTACACTACATGATACCACTAATAATAATAATGGTATTATTGCTATCAATAATTGTATAATATTAGTATAATAAAATAGTGGCAATAAAAATAGATTGTATATTATAGCCAATACTATAAATAATATAGATATACATGTATATATATTAGATAATTTATTTAAATAAAATATTCAAATATTAATATATTATTAATAAAATGTTATTACCTGTTAATGAGTAGATATTAAGTATTTGCCAAAATACTAATTTTGTTAATAGAGTTGCTTTTATTAGTGTTTCATTATTATCAATAATGAAATTTAAAAACTTATTATTATTATTATTATTATTATTATTATTATGAACTTTGGCTTTGAGTTTAATTTTGTATTGTTTCAATGCAATTGGATCAGCAATTATAATAAACAATTCAATCCAATCCATTGATTGTCTATCGTAGTTATAATGTAGACTATGGTAAACCAGTACACCTATTATGATAGCTATCAATACAGACAATTGGTTATATTGGTCGAGACCACCGATGTTTAGTATAGAATCAAATAATAGTAGACGTGTTTGACGTGTGGCAGTCATACAAATCAGACATTTAATTATATTGAATACAAAACATAGATATATAAAGTTTTCAAACAAAGTTGACTTATTTTGATAAATAAGTTTTCTGGTAATTGTCGATAAATATAGATTAACTATATATCTGAGTATTTTAAAAAATTGCTTAAACATAGTTTTTTTTGAAAACTTAGGCAAATTAGCGATTGCTTTTGAAAGGTATGTTTATTGCAAATTAATATAGCTTTTATGTTTTATATATTATTTAATTATAAGATTTGAATAAAGTTAAAATATAAGTATTAAAAACAATAGTAAGCATATAATTTTATTTTAACTTAAAAATAAACATAATCTGTGTTTTGAAAATTAATTTAGTGTATTTAATATATATATCGTGAAATGTTATTTCATAATAAAATGTTATTTAGAATTTAGCATTAAAATAATTAAGATAATTATAATATTGCGAGTCATAACAAAATCATTTTGAAATAAACAGTATTAATGTTATTGAAATCACTACATTAAATATCAATATTATAGTACAGGTACTTTACTATTAACATTAATATATACCCATAACTATATTGGACACCAACAGTATTTACAATACATTGGGATTATGTGGTATTCAAATGTATTCATAGTTTATTTCAATGCATTGATATTTCATAGTCGCCTAATAGATCGATAGTAATTACTGTATTACAAAATAATTATTAAAAAATTATACTAAAATTATAAGTTCAAAACAAATATATGAATAGAAATACTACTACTAATTAATAATAAGATTACATGTCTAATGAAGTTTGCCTGATATGGTATAATATAGTCATTAAACAATTTATATAACATATTAACAATTACAGTATAACAATATTATTTTATTATTAATTAGTCTTAAGTTAGTAGTAATAAAAATTTTTAATAATAATTATTTTTTAATTGTTAAATGACTATATTATTCCATATCAGATAAATTTCATTAGGCGTGGTTCACATATTACGTTCGCACTTGAGGGGGGGGGGGGGTTGGCCAAAGCGAACTTTTGCGAACGAGGGGGAGGGGAGGGGTATAGTCTTTAAGAACGTTCGCATTTAGATAATATTTTATTTCTTGTGGTGGGGGGGGGGGGGGTAGCGGTTAGGGACATGCGAACGTAATTTTTTTAAATGACTACATGCGAACAATTGCGAACATAGGGGAGGGAGGGGGTCTAGATTTCTTAAAAAGTGCGAACGTAATATGTGAACGACGCCTTAGACATATAATCTTATTACTAATTAGTAGTAGTATTTCTACTCATATATTTGTTTTGAATTTATAATTTTATTATAAATTATTTTTATTATTATTTTGTAATAATGACTATTGATTAAATTTCAATAGATTTATAAACTTGATTTTTAATACAAAATATAAAATTTTTTAAATACTTTGTAAAAATTGCATTCATAAAATCTATTAAACTATATCTATTAACTAACAGTAAATAAATATAATATGTTTAATAGAAAATTAAATATATTCACTTAATTAATACATTAAAATATTATAAAAAAGCAATTACATCATACGTATATTATAATTTTAACATAATTTTAATTAACTATTGTTTTCACGATTTTTTTTGACGATAACGTTTGAACTAATATAAAATATTTGACATATTTAACAACAATTGATATTAATCAAAATATCAATAATATAACAATAAATATATAGTTTATAGAAATAACATTTAAATAACAAACCAATTGAAACATTGGGTAAAATATGGCACTAAACGGTCCCAAATATAAAACGATTTTCTTATTACTCGACAGGCGCTCAAAATATGTTATTAATTGTAATTTAAATCGTCGGCTAAATGGCCGTCACTTTATATGCAACTATAAAATTGCTAACAAAAATAAAAACCATATTTCCCAGTAATGATAGTTTTAGACTAAACATGTTTTCAAACAGTATTTGATGCCAATATAACAGATTGATTGGCAACGAAAAAACAATTCAACGATTATTTATAGACATAATCTAAATAGTGATTTAACTACATTTACAAGTTATGATAAATAAATTAATTTAAATAACTAAATAATTAAATTAGTTATTGTGAAGTCTTTAAGTCTATTCTACTCTAATTAAAGTTAATTAAAAATAACTTATATATTAAATAAGATATTAAATAAATTATTTAATTATTTAATTCAATGTTGACATCTATTATTAATATTTTATAATAAATTTTTGTGTACTACATAATTTTATTAGTTTAATAAATTAGTTATAATGTATCGTGCATAACATTTTATATAATAAAATAATAAAATCAATATATAATTTATATTATATTATAATATACTGTACTATAGATTATAATATTTAAAATGCATTAAAAATTATAATTAAATACTGATGTATAATTTTAAATTAATTAACTATTGTTATCAATACGTATTTTTGATGATAATGTGTGAACTAATATAAAATATCGCACATATTTTACACAAATCTAGTAAAAATTAGAAATTTTTAGAATTTTATATAAACAGTATATATTATATCAATTATAACTAACCAATTGAAATATTGGGAAAGTTATGGCACCAAATGGTCCCACATTTATACCAATTGTTTTACTATTACTCGACAATCGTTCAAAATATATCATTACTTGTAGTTTAAATCGGGCACCAAATGGCCATCGCTTGAGACGCCACTGAATTGTTGGCAACGGTTTGGCCATTAAATGCATTTGTTTGGACAGATAAGCCATTACAAAATTATGACCAAATATGTAAAACATATCACCCAATGCTATGAATACAATAACCATTTTAATTCCGACAACAATACTGTCCTCAAACAACACCTGATGCCAACACAACAGATTGAATGGCATTAAACAAAACAGTTCAGCAAATTTCCATTTGGCTATCATTTTGTTAATATTGACCAACAATTGACAGCATTGGTTGTGTTGGTCAATGAAACTACTGGTGCTTCTATGGATATCCAATATCCTATTGCGTTCACTTGGGCATAACGTTTCTTTTAGTTCCCGATTAATTGACATAATTTTTTTAAATAATAAATAAATGATTACCGGAAACGTAATGAATATGAATGCTAAATCTAATATTGATATCAAAATTGTTATCAATAGTATCAATTGTGGTATAATTGATATAATAAATTGTGTCCACGTATAGTATGTCAAATAAATTTTTATAGAGATATATATACCAAATATTACTGTATATTATAGTAATACAAAAAAATTAATCAAAATAAATCATTAATTTTAGTTAAAGTTTCCCATTATTTAGTAGTATACCTGAAATTGTCATTGTAGTAATGAAATAAATATATACTAATTTAGTTAACATAATTACAATATGAATAATTTTGTTATCATTGCAAAAAAAGTTTATAAAACTATTGCTATTGTTTACTTTTAATGAGTTTTTTAATTTCAATTTTTTTAAAGCCCTGTTTCGTATAATAATTGCAAACAATTCAATCCATTCGCATGAATTTCGATCATAATTATAATGTAAACTAAAATATAAAATCAAAACTAATATTAGAAGGAAAATCAATGCAATTAAATTGTATTGATTGAGTCCACCGATAAATAATGTTATATCAAATAATAGTTTACGAGTTTCTAATGTACTATTAAAACAAACTAAGCATTTAGTTATGTTTACTAAATAGCATAAAAGTACAATATTTTCAAAATATTTTGCTAGTTTATTATAATTATGTAGTTTTTGTGTAATCAATGATAAATATAAATTAATGAAATTATTAAACAATTTATAAATTGAAGTAAACATTTTATTATTGTATTTACTTATTACAAATATTAAATTTATAAATATAATGCAAATATTATTTTATTTTATATATTATTAAAAATATACATAAATAAAAGTCAAATCATTCATTCAACTTAATTAAAAAATTTATTATGCAATTAGAAAATAAAATGTATAACTAAAAGAAAAAATAATATTTAATTTATTATATTTATTATCATTAATTATAATATATCGTGTTCAATTATAGTAACTTGAAATTATAAGTTATAGTCATATAAAATATTTACAAAAAAAATATATTTCATAATTAAATATACAGGTATTAGTTTAAAGACATAATAATAAAATTCGAAATATTTATTGTTGTTTGTTATGCTATATCTAGCATTCTCAACTATTTCAATGTTTGTACTTTATTTTTTATTAGGTTATAATTTTTTACATTATATATAAATATATACAAATTAGATGATATAAATTTCAAACTGAGTTTATTCATTGCGTATTTTTACGATAATTTTATAGATTAATATGAAATATCGCACATATCTTATGACAGTCTAAAAATATATATTAATCTTTACAATATTTACATTAGTTTTTTTATAGAAAGTTTCTCAGAAATATATTACTGAAATTTTACTTTATTGTTATACTATGTCAACTCCATATAAAGCTACTGTAATATTGATATTTAATTTACACATTACTTAAGCAAATGGGATCTTTATATTTAAAATTAATAAATAATTTTATTATAATTAGTTATAAAATTTATTCGTAATTTTATTATTTTTATTATTATTTAATACAATATACAATGACATTATTGATTTGATTATAAAATGATATTAAATTTCTAGACTAATATACATGTAATCAATATACTGTATTATAAATATATAGATTCAAATAATAGATTTTAATTGTTTTCAATGCGTATCTTTACCGCTAATTTGTGAACTAATAGAAAATATCGCATATATTTAACGACAATCTGTAATTAAAATAAACAAAGAAAAAACTGTAATTAGTTTTACTTTATATTTTAAATAACAAACCAATTGAAACATTTTGAAAGTCATGGCACCAAACGGTCCAACATTTAAACCGATTCGTCTATTACTTGACAGGCGTTAAAAATATGTCATTACTTTTAGTTTAAATCTTGGACTTAATGGCCAATGATTTAAACGCCACTGAATACGTGCCAATGGTTTGCACATTATATGTAATTTATAGGACAGGTATGCAATTATGAAGTTAATGACAAAAATATAAAACATATTGGTTATTAATATTATAATTAATGTTAATTGTATTTCAATTATAATTGTCTCAAATAACATCTGATGCCAAAACAATAGATTAGATGGCAATAAACATAACAATTCAATAAAAAACAATTTAGCCACAAATTTGTTCAAATTTGCAATGAAAAAACAACATCGATTGTGTTGATCAATAAAACTACCGATAATGTTATCATATGTTTTTAAATTTGTCAATGTATTTTTTAATATATCATTTATAATGTTGATCTTATTAAATAATAAATACAATATAATAAAAATCGTGGATGTAATAAATGTTATATCAAATGCAAAATTAATTAATGATATTATAAATACTACAATTGGTATAAAAGTTATAATAATTTCAGTCCATTCATAATAGTTTATATATATATAAATGATAATATAGATTGAAAATATTACTATAATAAGAAAAATTAAATTAATAAATTATTATAACTCATATTTAAATTATTATCATTATTATAATTACCTGAATAACTTATACCACAATAAGAAGTATAATTGATAATATTTCTAAACAACTTTATTATTAATAGTATACTATTATTATCGCAAAGAAAATCAATTAACTTATTATCTTTCTTGACATTTAATATGTTTTGTATTTTCAATTGTTTAAATTTAATAGGATTTTCAAGTATTACAATTAAATCAATCCAATCAAGTGAATTGTAATCATAGACTGTATAATGTATACTATAGTACAATAATATACCTAATATAACAATCAATAATAATGCAATTTGATTATATTGATAGAGACCACCGATAAAATATGTAAAATCAAATAATAGTTTACGTGTTTTCTCAGTAGCATTAAAACAAATAATACATTTAATAATGTTTAGTACATAACAGATAAAAAAGATGTTTTTCAAAATTTTTAATTTTCTATTAGTATTATTAATATGTAAAATTGATTTTAAATAGAATTGCATTATATACTTAAAAAATTTGTCAATTGTTTTAAACATTTTCTATATAATTTATTGATATTGAATTTAATAAATTCAAAATAAATATTTTTAATATATTAAATTAAAAATTAAGAGTGATTTTTAGCTAATAGTCAGTCTATACTTAAACTGTTTGATAAATTATTAAATAATTGGATTTTTGTATGTTAAATTTATTATCAATATTAACAACAAAAAATAAAAGTTTTTAATTCAATAAGTAGGGTATTAGACAGTATATGTATAAAAAATAAATTCACTTAAATATAATTAAAGTTTGGGTAACTTACAAAAAGACAGAAGTTCCCTAATAAAATCCCTCCAATTTTCCCGGAAGATATGGAAAATATTTCATTATCTCTTCTTTCGTCTTTTGAAAGAAAAATATAATTTATAATATTATAATAAATATTATCAAAACTTAAAATATATTATTTAAAATTATTTAGAAATATAAAATAATATTAATTTAGTATTATCATTAATCAATTATCAATAACTATTACACAAAATACAGTTCATTTAGACATTTATTTTTCAACCATTATATTAAAATTGTTGTTTAGGGTTCAATTTGCACAACAAACTAAATTCCCTATTAATTCCCAGAAAACAGCAAAAATAGAGAACTTTAGGAAAATAAAGCGAGGGATGAAATTTGAATGAACGCTAAGTATTATAAATAAATATGATTTTAATATTGCGTTTATTTTATATTATAAAGATCTAATTGACAATAAGTATAATTACCTAATTATTTTAATATTGCATTTTGAATAGCATCAAAAATAGCATTCAAATATTTAAGACTATAAAATCTTAATATATAATATAATTATGTAAATGTATAATTGTTTTATATCAATAGATATATTGGAGATTGAAATAAACAAATTATTTAATAAAAATACTTAACATTTACTTTTAATTTACTGTTTTAAACAATAGTATAAAAAACGTTATAAAAGTATTATATATTCTGAGCATAGCTTTAGTCTATATTCATTAGTGGCGCCATAAAAATAGGCCAAACAAACGCATTATATATTGTGATAAAATACATTGCATTACATAATATTTTATTTGCTTAAAATCTGCAACATTTTATATCATGAATAGTGACTTTAACTAAGCTATAGTTCCTCAATATTAACAGTTTGAATGTCAGCAAAACGACTGACTGATTCTGTGTACGAAATATTTTCAATTAGCTATTGTTATCTATTTGTATAATTGATTTGAAATAAAATTGTATAATATAGTTATAAATTTTGATTATCTTTTTTGAGATTTTTTTTAACTAAATTTATGTATATTAAATTGTATAATAATTTTGATTCTAATTTTTAAAAATCTTTTAATACTAAAACTTTTAGACAAATAAGACTTTTGTATTTTATGTTAGGTTTTTATTTTTTTTGTGATCAGGTATTAGATTAATTAAAATATATTTATTTCATATAAATATAACATTATTAGTAAATATTATTCTTTTAGTTATTTTTATAATAACATAATTCTAATAAGCAATATTTGTTATGAATATAATTTTAGTTAATTTAAATATTGCGTTCATATAACAAATAATTAGGTTATTATTATTTAATTTTATAATATTATTAGGAAATTAAGATTCAGTCAGAATATCATAATTATAATTAAATTTATATTTAAATTATACAAAAATTCTTATAACAACAATTGCTGTATATTTTAAACCTATATCAAGTAATTAAATAAAAAATACACTCCCACACAAAAGAGAGGTACTATTATTTTTTAGAAATCATGATTAGATGACCCATTGCTAATAACTGATAATAATTAATAAGTAGTACGTATTTTTGAAGATAACAAGTGAACTAATATAAAATATCGCACATATTTTATGACAATCTATAAATTAAAAATAAAAACATAAAATTAAAAATAAAACTTTTATTTATTTAACAAATAAAATTACTAAACCAATTG